CCCCGTAGGAGCAGCCACAGGGGCGGCGGCCTCCAGCCCGGCGGGCGCGGGCTCCTGCGCAGCTGCCTAGCCAGGGTGGGTTTCAGGCTTCGGGTTCCAGGTTTAGGGTTTCTGCTTTGCGGGTTTAGGGTTCCGGGTTTGGGGTTGCGGTGTGGCGTGGTAGGCAAATTTGGTGGCTTCGATGGCTTGGGTTCAAATTGAGACCCGCGCTTCCCGAACCGATCTCCCGAACCCAAAAGCCAGGAAGTGAGCCTCAAAGGAGGGTTTGGGGCGCAGGGTTTACAGGGTTCATGCCTGGCTGTGTGCGCACCTTTGGACGACTATCAAGTGCACAATCCCGGGACAAGGTGTTTTGCATCGGGAACATGTGTGTACTGCCTGACGCCTTGACTTGGCGATCTTGCTGCTGCAGCTGTCGCAAACGGCTAATGTCCTCGCACATGGGACACGCTTGCTGTGCGTGAGAAAGGCGCACCGCACGCAGCCCCACCTCGGTATCGGTTTGTGGGCAGCCAAGAAGGCCTCACGCACCGCCGTCACCTTTGCAGGTTTGAAGACGGGGCGCACCTTCTCCTCGTTATGCCGCCTCTCACAGAGGCGGCACAGCACCTCGCAGGGAAGGAGAACTGCAGGCGTGCCGCAAGCTCACGGAAGCTGACGCCTTGATCTTCTTTGCCGCGCGCTCTGTTTGCGCAGAGTCCTGGCCGCAAACCGTTTAGGGAAGGTCCAGAACGTCAGGTCTAATTATGACGCAGTCCTCGGCAGCTCTTTTTTTGGGTGCCATGGCGTCCCTGACCCCGAGCAGGAGCCGGCCACAGGGAAGACTGGCCGCCGCGCGCCGCGAGCCCGCCCGGCCCAGTCTACAGCCGCATAACCCAGTACACTTTGCAGCTTAGAACACCTTCAATTTACGGGGTAGGGCTTCAGGCTGGGGGGCTGAGACTTGAGGTGTTAAGGTGCCTGGTTTATGCTTGCGACGGCAGACGGGGGCCTCTGCGTGGAGGTTAAGGTGTGTGGCTTATGCTTTCAACAGCAGATGGGGGCCTCTACGTGGAGGTCTGGTTGGCAGCTGGAACATAGGCCGGCGGCAGCAGCACCAACACAAACCCGCAGTTCTTCACATTCTGCGCTTTGGCTTGGCATGTTGATTGATCTGACGGAATCTTGCTTAACCCCAGTTTAAATTCTGAACCCTACAAGCCCGAATGCAAGTTGTATAGTATACATATATATATATACTATGTATACTATGTATACTATGTATACTATGTATACTACGTTATATGTATATACATGTACAATGCGTTCTGTATGTACTACATATGTTAAGTGTGTATATGTATATGTACTCTGTAGACTATATATACTATGTATACTTATTATATGATATCGACTATGTATATATTATATACTACATATAGTATATATACATATATTATATACCATGTACACTATAATATATATATATATACTACATATATTACATAGTGTGTATTATGCATACTGTACATATTGTGATATGAGATAAGATAATATAATATAATATGTATACTATATATACCATACTTGTATACTACACATACTTTATGTTTGTATACATACATATATATGTGTGAGTGTGTGCACTACATACACCATGAAATATACTATCTCGACATATTTTTAAATACTTTTACTGGACTTTGTACATACAGTGTATTTAATATATATATATATATATATATATATTAATATGTACGTATACTCTTTTTGCTCTATATACTTTTTGTACTATATATACGACATATAATATATTTTGTACATGCCATCTATACTATATATATATAATATTATATAATATGTATACTATATATATACACACATACAAGTTATTGCACTTTGTATTATATGGTATATAGTATATCTATATAGATGTATAGAAAACATATATACATATATACTCTATGTATACATACATATTAACCTTCCAATATTCTCTCTCTCTCCATATAAATAAAAAATATACATATACATATATATATATATATGCATATGTATGATTGTGTATACTATACATACTATGTCGACATACAAAACATACGAACATGGTGTAGATACTGTTCTGAGCAGTAAGCTCTTGACATGCCCGGAAGCCTGGAAGCCAAGAATCCGGAGGCCAAGAAGCCCAGAAGCCCCGAAAGCCCCGAAAGCCAAGAAGCCAAGAAGCCAAGATGCCAAGAAGCCAAGAAGCCCAGAAAGCCCCAGAAGCCAAGAAGCCAAGAAGCCCAGAAAGCCAAGAAGAAGCCAAGAAGCCAAGAAGCCATGAAGCCATGAAGCTGGAGCGAGCCAGGAAGCCAGGGAGCCGAGGAGCCGAGAAGCCAGCAAGCCATGAAGCCATGAAGCCATGAAGCTGGAGCGAGCCGCGGGGCAGGAAGCTGGATTATTTTTTTTTTGATCCTTTTTTATTTTCTTTTTGATCCTTTTTTATTTTTTTTTTGATCCTTTTTTATTTTTTTTTTGATCCCTATCCCGCAGGGCGCCTGCTCCCCATGGAGATGTTGAATGTCCTTAAAGATGCAAGGGTACTGGCTGTAGTCCGTGGCGTGGTCTGCGTGGCCCGAGGCCCCCCTAACAGGCCTAACATGGCCAACGCCCTCGCAAGCAGCACCACTGCCATGGTCAGAGACCTGCGCCGCCGAGAGCCTTTGCCTTTGCTGCCTTTGCTTCTTTTGCGGCTGCTTCTGCGACTCTGGCGACTCCTCAGACTCCAAGGACTCCGACGAGGACTCCTCGTTCTCATTGTCGTCGCTGTTGCTGTCTGTCTTGCCCTCATCATCGTCTTCCTCACTCGGCAGGCAATCGTGTCCATGTTGCATCACCAGGGAAATCCATTGTCTTTTCTCCTCTGACGATTCACAGGCAAACGCTTGCTTCAGTTCACATCCGTACCCTGCCTTCTTGAAGAGCTTGCTCAATGCATCCATGACGAAGAATGGCCCTTCACTGCCCGAGCAGCAAGTTGCCCAAGTCAGCTTACGAACATCCTTTCCGATCAAGTCCCTTCCATCGGTCAACGCAGAGCAAGATGCAGCGTTGTCTTGCGCACAAGCCTGGAGCCAGGTGCCATCCAGAAGTTTCTTGGCTGGCAAAGTCCGAGACTTCTCAATCCCGCCGGATTCCCCGGATGGCCCTTCTCTCATGTCTGCCGCTTCTTGCCGCCGCGTTTCTTCTTGGCTAGCATCGTGTCCCATGAAGCCGATTGGTTTGCCGCTGGCCCGCCACTGCAGCTCAGCTAAATTCAAAAGTAAAGACAGTAAAGGTAAAGTCATACACTGACACTGATACATGTCACAGTTAGTTGAGGTTACAGGCTTACAGTATTCCAGCATTCCTTGTGAAGTCGAGTCTAAAGACTAGAGACTCTCGCGGACTCCTCGGTTCGCCTGCGTGTCAAAAAAGAACGGACAAGCAAATGCCCAGGCACGGTGGCATGTGACATGTGACTCATGTGACTCGTGTGACCCATGTGACCCATGTGGCCCATGTGACCATGTGACATGCAAATGCGGCAAATGCAAAGGCGTCAAAGGTGACAGAACGTGAGACTTCACTTCTCTTGGCACTTTTGAACTCCGGCCCACTCATCGTGAGCGAGTCGCAGCCGCAGCCCGCTCCATCGCAAAGCGCCGTAAATAAATTAAATGACACTGACTCAATGTCAATGACTCAATGACTCAATGACGGAAACAAACCCAAACACACTAGACTGAAAGACTGAAAGACTGAAAGACTAAAAGTAGCAGGTAGCATTACTTATGCGACATAGCGAACCGCGTCTGAACTCTGAAAGCTTGAAAGTTAATCTCAAAGTCACTCTCACCGTGACTGTAAGACGGTAAGACTGTCAGGGTAAGTCAGTCTGTGACTCTGTGACAGACTGTGAAACAGCGAAGCAGTGACAAGTGCGTCTGCGTGAGTCAGCAGCGTGCGATACGGCGATACCACTTCGACCATTTGAAATTTCAAGGCTCTGGACTCCGGACACACGAAGCGACGAAGTCTGAGACTCAAGTTCAGTCTACGTCTTCAGTCTTCAGCTTCCCGGACTGCCGGCTTCGCGGCCACCTTGGACTTTGCAGCCTTTGCCTTCGCCGCGTTTTGCCGCAGCATCTCTGACAATCGCAGGCCTGACGAAACTTCTTGGGAGGGTTCTGCTTTCATCTTCGCGAAAAGCTCGCAGAGCGGAACATCATCTCTGAAAACCCCACTGGCGCTGCTCTTGGCTTTGGCTTTGGCTTTGGCTTTGGCTTTGCCTTTGGCCTTCGCATCCCTCTTTCCGAAACTGCCCAAGATTCCCACGGCTGTCCGCTTCTTGTCACCCGTGGCCTTGCTCGCCTTCGCTGCCTTTGGCTCCTTGGGCTTCTTGTTTTCCTCCTTACGTTTGCGCTTGGTCCCTGCCCCCTCATCCTTGCCGTCATCAGCACAGCGGTTCTTGTTATCCTTCTTTTCCTTTTTCACACGCTTTTCTTTCTTGTTCTTCTTGTCTTTCTTGTCTTTCTTGTCCTTGTCCTTGTCCTTCTCCTTCTTCGTCTTTTTCTCCTTGACAAGGTCAGTGACCGGTGCAGCCTGTGCCTGTTCCTGGCCCTTGTCTTCTGGGTCTGGGACTGCAACAGGACTTGTGGCAGCACTTGCCTTGTCCTTGACCTCTTCCGGGACTGCAACAGGACTTGTGGCAGCACTTGACTTCTCCTTGACCTCGACCTCTTCCTGGTCCTTGTCTTGGTGGTTGTCCGGGACTGCACCAGGGCCAGTCGAGGCATCGGGAACGGCATCCCCCTCGGCTGCGCGCTTCACACCTCGAGAAGGCTCGGCAAGTCCGGCAACCCGGTCCGTCTCCTGGAGGCCATCATCAAATTTCATGGCTGAAATGTTTCACAACTGGAACACTTAAGCACATATGATGACTGAGCCCTGCCAACAAACAAAACAAAACGCGTCACCCGACAGTGCAACGGACCCTTTTAGCTGAAGTCCTTTGCCTTTTCTTCGTCTTCGAACTCCAGCATCATTGCCTCGAGGTCTGCTTCCAGGTCGCGGTCCTCGCGAACCTCAATCAGGAGCTTGCTTTCATTCCCACCTTCTTCGTGCACGGCTTCCTTTTGTATCTCTTCGCACGGGGCGTCAGGGGGCTCAGCGGGCACGTTGCCTGCAGAATCCGACTTGTGCTCGTCCTGCGCCGGGCACTCATCGTTTATCTGGCATTTCGTGACCGCTTCGGACTTCTTCTCGTCCCCAAGTTCGGGCAGCTGCGAACTTACGCCTTCTGGATTGCTCAGTTCCTTGGCATCGTCTTGCGTTTGCTTTTCTTCGTCTTGACGTTCACCCTGCAAGCCAAGCTCTTCCTGCCAGAAACCCAATACTCCAAGCTTACTCCTTGCTTGCGCGGCGCCAGACCACAAAGCATCCACATCAACACTGCTCCTGCCAATGGACTGTTTGACCTGAGAACACAGACACAGAACGAGGATGTTGTACACCCGTGGCCCACGTAGTTAACTTACATAGCACATCAGGATTCAGGATGTGGAGCAACCAAGGGCCAAGGGTCAAGGGATTTCATGTAGCGGTCTTGCCCTATGAGTCTATGAGCAACCCGACGCTAATGAAGCCAAAGCGCAGCAGCGATCATGGAAACAATCAGGTCCTTCATGGGCTCATCCATCAAGATGGAATTCTGCGGCAGCTTTGGCAAATGAGTCTTCAGGAAGGTGAAAGTCACATTCTCAAGTGATTTGGCGACCTTCTTACCCTCGTCTGATTTTCCACCCAAAGCTGCGCAACGAAACAAGGTCACACATGCGAAGAACGTAACACACGACGTCAGAGACGCGCTCACATTCTCCGAACACGTAAGCAACCGCAACACAAGCTCGTACTTGGTGACTCCAATGACACTCTCGACATCCTTCCGCGGAAGCATCTCCGCGGTCGCTCGCAATTCCGCAGCACACTGTCCTAACTTGCTAGCGTCGGCTGCCATTGGCTTGTTGGACGTGTTGCACACGCTCCGAAAATCGGACTCCCTGGAGATGTCGGGCATGTTCTCGAGGTGCTTCTGCGCGACGCGCAGACGCTTCTGAAGGTCGGTTGCTTGCGCGCTAAGCCTTTTTGCCAAATGTTCTTGACACATCCGCACACCATCCTGCATGACCTTGAAAGCTTCGGCACTCACCAGCTGTGTTGCATCAAGTTTTTCATCTGCAGCTGCGTTGCTGCTCTTGACCTGCTCAGCCAGCGAAACAAACTCTGTGAGCTCCCTGTGGCACTGCTGCAGCTCCAGCGTAGTAGTCGCAGAGTATTCCACGCTTTCCTTGTCTAGCTTCCACAAGGATGAAACCGCCTGCCATGGACTTGGGACGCAAGACCACAAAACACCAAAACACAACTAATATTCATATAAAAGCAGGCCATCACATTGCACAACAACACAACGACAACAACACAACACAACACAAGTAACACAAGTAAATCAGCAAGCGTCGAATCTCGAATCTCAAATCTCAAACCACACAGAAGTCACAAGTGTTGGGCCCAGGCCGGGCCTTCTCGAAGACCTGCACGAGCTGTGGCCAGTCCCCATTGCTAGGCAACTTCACCTTGGCCTCTACCAAGCCGTGAACGAGAGTGCGTTTGGCAAGACAGGCTGTCACCAGGCTACCAAGCTGCGAATAAGCGGACAAGGTCAGCGACCTGAGACAACGTGAGGCTTCGGAGGCGAACACGTGCAGGAAGTCCTTCACCGCTGCGCGATCTGAGTCCATGCAAAAAGCCATGATGGCATCGTCCTGCTGAAGCCAGCTGGACCACTTGTTCAGGTTCTCAGGCTCTGTAAGGACGTCTGGCTGCACCGGCTCTGAACCTGAATAGCGGTCAAACACAAACCGAAGCAAGCCTGCCACGTCGCCGGCGACTACCGTGTAACGTGCTTGGAGGTCTTTGATATCTTGCGGCACCCCTGCAGTCCACCAAAACGAGTGTTCTAGGAGGTCTTTTGCACGGATGGTGCAAAGTCCTTCGTTCAGATCGAAGCCGCTCGTCTCATCACTGGGCATCTCTTGAGACTCTTGGGACTTTGCACGAAAATCCATGCCCTCCTCCTTGGCTTTGTTTTTTGCAACGGGGTCTGCGACCCTTTTCGGCCGAGGCTCTGCAAGCTCCAAGACCTTGGAAGGCGCGTTGGACGTGCCGAACTCCAGGACGGAGCCAAAGCGACACTGAAGACACTCCAACAACGCCTGCTGAGTGGTTGTCCAGAACTCCTTTGTGATGTTCTCCATCTTCAGCCGCTGTCTGGGCAGAAGCGTGTTGTCGTCTAGCTTGGCTCGATGCTGAACCCAATCATTGAGTTTCTGGAAATCATTTTCGCACATGCCCCGTTGCAGGAGCTCTTCACTCCAGTTTGTGTAGACCTGGGTCATTGCCTGCAAGGCCGCATCGGCCTCTCTTTCCCTTTGCGCTGCTTGCAATCGGTTGCGTGCTTCTGTCATAAGACAAAGCCCAACACGGTGCTTGCTGAAAAATTGCACGATCGCCCCGAAAGTTCCTTCTGACTGGCGCTCTTCGAACGACTTCATTCCCGCAGCCAAAGTCTCGAGATCATCCAGATCCAAGACGCCGGCCACCAGCACAACATCATCTTTCAATGAAGTTAGCAGGCTTTCGGGATCCTGCATTGCCTTGAGAATGGCCTTGCAGAAAATTCGCACCTGGAGTCGAGCTTCAGCGCACGCATTCTTTTCTTTATCTTTCATCTTGCCTGCCTCTGGTGGCAAGGGAAGGCCTCGGAGCTGGCTTGTTAAGCACTCTTCAACCTGGGCAGCGCACACTTCGGCAACGGCCTCCTTCGCGTCATGCTTGAGGAGGTTCGACACCTGCAACACGTGGCTAACTAGCTGCTTCAACACAGAACGACAGACACCCCAACACAGCTTTTACACTTTTACAGTTACACTAATTTGCTAGGGAATCGCAGGAGTCGCAGGCAAACTGCTACGACTCATTATTATTGAAATTATTGACTGACTCCTTGACTCAAAGAGAAAGGACAAAGACACGGAGACCAGTTTGCCTACTGCTAAGACATGAACCGCCTCTGAACCGCATGAATGACAATAATGGCCAGAAGGCCATAGGCCCATAGGGCCATAAATGAAATGAAATGAAATGGATCCAATGATTCGATTGATTGATAAATCGACGAATCGATGAAATGGCAAGTTCAAAGTTCAAATCAGTGCCAGTATGATAAAGACGATAAAGATAAAAAAAGAACGGAAAGGCCGCGAGACTCTGAGAAACTCGGAGACTCAAGGACTCAAAGAAACTTTGACTCTGAGATTGCGATTGCCGATTGCTAGTCGGCCTCTAGCGAGGAAGCCTTATACAGAGCAGCGTAGGCATCAAACTCGCGGTACATGAGGTGGTGGCTACAAGAGACTTGCAAGATGTGCAGCCACACAGCGCTGCCCAGCTTTGGTGCCATGTCCGAGGGGAGAGCAAGGACAGAGTCCAGGGCGGCCCTCATCTGTTCAGAAGTCACCTCCTTTGCGTGCAACGCGGCATTGAACTGTCCCAACGCAGCAACATGATCAGCCAGACTTTGCAGGTCGGCGATTTGCTCTTCAACGCCTGCCTTGTTTGGGGAATTCTCGGCTTTTTTCAGGTTTGTGGCCAACGTTCCCGCAGCCGAGGTGAACACCTTTTGCTTGGCTTGAAACGGCTTCTTGTCCTGAAAAGCGTAGTCGTCCTGGAAAGCCAGCACTGCACTGACCGATCTCTTGCACTCTGCGACTGTTTGACTGAGGCTTTGCTTCAGCCGGAGCCCACGTCCATCAAGGTTGAGAACCCCGGCTGCTGCGGTCAATGTGGCAGCAGCTGTCTCCTTGATCGAGCTCGTGGTTGTGGTCTTGCCGCCCTTCATGGCTGCGTTGGCGTTGGGTTTCTTCTGCGCTGCATTAGCTGAATCTTGTACCGGGCCTGCGGCCGTCGCCTGGCTTGGCGTCTGCGTCGGTCTCTTCGCAGATGCGGCAGATGCGTCAGCTGCTTTCGTTGGGTTTGGTTTGTTGCTGGCGCCTTGCGATGGGTTCGACTTTGCTTTCGGATTGGCAGCTGCCTTGGGGCCACCCTTCTTCAAACCACTCGATTTTGCAACACGCTCTGCAAGGGTTTCGTGTTTGCCTGACACGTCGTCGTCCTCGTCGTCGTCCTCAACCACTTCAACTGCGCCTGAAGGGTCTGCTGCCTTCTTGACGGCACTGGCGGACGACGAGGCTGGAAGCCCTGAGTCGGAGTTGAGATGCCCCAAAAGAGTCATGATCGAGTCCATGTCTACTTCGCACGCTTCGACGGCGACTGCGTCGCGGTCATGCGTTGTTTGTGCGAAAGCAGCAGAGACCGCAGCCCGTGTCCTTTCCAAAGCCTCCTCCGCAAAGGGGTTGTTTGCGTTGCCGTCGAACTCCTTACAAGTGCAAGTCGGCACGTGCGCCTAGAGATATCACACACAAACACAGACGCAGACACTTTTACGGTTTGCAGCCCCAATAAAGCAAAAACAGCGCACAAGTGCACTGCAGACATAGCGTCAACAGTGGTCTCTGTATGCTTGCCGTCTTCGTACTCCTGCACGTCAAAGACACCTTTCCTGGTAGAGAGGGGTTCAAGGTTTGTGGAACAGGCAAGGAAAGTACCAATACTAGTAACTGGTACTATGATAAAGCAAAAGTACATCAAACCAAACAAAAAAATCTAGTTCTTCCGTGTCTCCGCCCTTTTAGCACAAAACAGCCGCGCACTTTCTGTCCAAAGATGGTTTGCTCAACGACCTTCGATTCGTCCAGCTCGCCATCCACTTTGGGATCCCAGGCCGTGAGCGCCACAAACACTTTTTTCGGTTTGACGAACTTGGTGCCCGAGCTGGTGCTGGTGGTGATAGTCGTTTGTGGCTGAGCAAGCTCGTCGCGGTCCTTGAGCAGGAAACGCTTCGAGCCTGGGGTCGAATTTCTCTTCGCGATCCAGGTCGCCACCGCATTAAGGAAAATGTTGTGGTCGACCTTGCCCTGCGCGACTGCTTTGAGGTAGGCCGTAGCGTTCTTGTACGTGGCCTAGACATGAACTGAAATGAAATGAATGATGATGAAAATTAAACTAAACACTAGCAAAACTAGAGGACGAATCATGACGATTGATTTGATGAAACGATTTGCTTTGCGCACTGATAATAATGAACAGTTCTAAGACTCAAAAAGCGATGTGACGATGTGAATCTGAATTTGCATATTGACAGATTGATTGACACAATTCAAAAGACTCGCGTTTCACATATTGTTTTACTAACATTTTAAAAATTGTGAAAGCTTTAGGCTTTAGCTTGATGCTTCCAGTTGCGGTGAGATTCAACAGCCTCCACACATTGAGGCAGATGAGGTCTATGTTGGCTTGCGGAACTCGATACACCTGAGCATCGTCCGGGAGCTTGACTGCTTTGTACTTGGCCCACGGCCGGCGGCCGCCATACTGGTCATTCTCATGGGCGCCTACCAGCGGCGACGGGTCCGTGCTCAATTTGTTGCAAAGCTTGCAACAAACGGCTTTGGCCAGAGTAAAGGAGACAGGCAAGAACTGCTTGGTGGCGCCTTTGTAAGTACGGGCCGCAACGGAATTCCCGTCGTCCTCAGCCTCTGCGGCCTCTATTTCGTCCGCCTCGGTCTCCTGCTCCTCAGGCCCCATCTCACCCCCGGCGCCCAGCCGCAAGAAGGGCGCGCCCTGCTGCGTCTCTTCCATGAGCGACCCGACGAGGACCGACTCACGAGGCCAGAGGCCCGGACAGGGAGCTGAGGCCGGGCAGAACAGTTTCAGGCTCGCTCTTTGTCTTTCTCTCTCTCTCTCTCTCTCTCTCTCTCTCTCTCTCTCTCTCTCTCTCTCTCTCTCTCTCTCTCTCTCTCTCTCTCTCTCTCTCTCTCTCTCTCTCTCTCTCTCTCTCTCTCTCTCTTTCTCTATCTCTTTCACTTTCTCTTCACTTTCTCTCGCTTTACTTTCGAATCTGAAGCCGTCTAAATCTCTTGACTCTTGACTCTGAACGGCTCGGGTGCACGAACTGCTGTCAGCGCTGCAACAGTAAGTAACATGAGTAACATGATACTTGCACATGATGTAACGTAACATGTACAATGCATGGTAGCAGCACAGCACGGACATCTGATTTTTTGTAACCTTGCGAAGTCGCGGCATCAACCCGCAATCTTGAAATTTGAATAATTTGAATCATTTGAAATCGAATCAGTCAATCAATCTGACAATCTGTCACTGAACATCATGAACATCAGAGTTCCTGGCGGGCGTCCGAATGCACTGGCGAGACCTGGACGGAGTCCGAATTTCCTGGCAAGACCTGGACGGAGTCCGTTTTCGCCTTCGCTGGCTTCGAGTGCATCAGTTCCAAGACCACACGCAGCGCGCTGTGCAGCAACGCGACCACGTGCGAAGCAAACTGCGGCAGCGGAAGCTTGATCACCACCAAGCTCTCTTCCGACAGCCACACGAACAGCTCCTGAATCTTCTGCCCAAGGAAGCTATCCTTTCCCAAGTCCAAGTCGCGCACCACGAAGTCCAACAGCTGCAGCACAAGAATGCGCCAGACCGGCTCAAACTTCAACAGGGCAGCGCGAAAGGTGTCCCAGATGAACTCCACCGAAACGCTGGCATTGTTGGGCGGCGCGGAAGCCTGCAGGCCGGACATGGTACCACCAAGTAGGCAGAGTTGGGGCAGCGGATGCTAGGACTGACGCAGGACAAAAGACTGCTCTGCATGGAAGCGCGAGTCTGGGCCAAAACGCATTCGCGCAGACGCGCCTGCGCATGGCCTGCTGTTGCGCCTCCCTTTGCCTCACTGCCCCGACCCCTGGCTCGCACTCCTGCACTTAAGGCGCCGGAGCCGGCGCCGCCGCCGCCCCCGGCCGCCGCCACTGAAGCGCCGGCGGCGGCGCCGCCAGCGCCGTGCCGCCGACGACGCCGACGCCGCCGCCTCCGCCTTCCGCCTCCGCATCCCACGGAAAAGGGTTTAGGGTTTAGGGTTTAAGGTTTTAGGGTTTAGGGTTTAGGGTTTAGCGTTTAGGGTTCAGGGCATAAGGGTTAAGGGTCTAGGGTTTTGCGGTTTAGCTCGCCGGGGCCTCGCCGTCGCCGTCGCCGTCGCCGTCGCCGTCGCCGTCGCCGTCGCCGTCGCCGTCGCCGTCGCCGTCGCCGTCGCTGTGGCCGTCGCCGTCGCCGTCGCCGTCGCTGTCGCCGTCGCCGTCGCCGTCGCCGTCGCCGGTGCTGGCGCGGCGCCGGCGCCGGCGCCGTCGCCGTGGTGCCGTGGTGCCGCGGCGCCGCGGCGCCGTGCGCCGTGGCGCCGTGGCGCGGTGGCGCCGTGGCGCCGTGGTGCCGTGGCGCCGTGGTCGTGGGGGCCGCGGGGCTGTGGCGGGGGCTGTGGGGCCGTGGCGGTGGCCGTAGAGCTGTGGTGGGGGCCGTAGAGCTGTGGCTGGGGCTGTGGGGCTGTGAGGGTGGGTGTGGCGGTGGGTGTGGCGGTGGGCGCGGCGCCGCCCGCCGCCGGCCGCCACCGCTGCACCGTCCCGCCCGTGAGGGTGGGTGTGGCGGTGGGTGTGGCGGTGGGCGCGGCGGCGGCGGCGGCGGCCGCCGCCGC